TGCCCAACGTTCGTCTCTTTGCGGAGTTCGGTGACAAAGGTTTGTACGACTTGCCGTTCGGCATCCAGTTCACTCACGACTGCGACAACATCAAGACAGGTTCGTTCGGCAAAACGTTGCACCGGAGTACTGCATGTGGACGCTCTTCTTTTGTATCTTTCTTAATAGGTCGCGTAACGTCGATAAATCGGCGACTGAGAGAATCTTCACGGAATGCAATAACAATCGCGGCCCAACGCGCGCAACGGCAATACTCGTGACAGTGTGAAAAAAACTCACATGAGGATTGTCACACCACTTCAGCTAATAGTGGCGGTGCGGCCATTATTAAGCATGGTTTGTCACCCCTCTCCGTTGCAGAGGTGACGATCAATGTTCCCAACGGGTCAATGCAGTAGCCGCGGCGGCAGCAGCAAGTAAGCGAGCAGCGATAGTGATATTTTCGCTCATTACGAGTTGTGTCATCGAGGTACTGTCTGCCAACCATGACTATTTCCATACACTCCTTTAAGGATGGAAGCGGTAGCAAAATAATGCAAATTATAATGGAGAAATATGAACCGCCCTAACCCTTTAGACTTGACAGTGGCGTTGTCACGTGCTATAGTATCAAGAAACTCCTGCACGATCTTGTTCCATGAAATCTCCAACGCATCTCCATGGTTCCAAAGATACGAACTCCGAAACCCTCAACCCTAATACCTTTTTTCCTTAAAGCCGAAAACCACATCTGCTGGTTGCCAGATGAGACTTGCACCGTCTCCTGTGCTGATGGCTTCACCGGCTCTTCCACCGTGCTGGTCTGTGAGGGAACGCGTGGCGTTGCAGGCGCTGCACAACGGTTGACAGGGGTGCTTACTTAAAGGATCATGGGACTTAGTAAGTAGGGTCATAACTAAGGTAACTATACTCATAACCCAAATTAGGGGACTTAGAACCTTACTTACTAAGTCCCATGATCCTCCAAGTAGGGACTGGTAATGACTGGTATGGCAAAGACGATTCCGACAGAGATGGTCTGTGGCTCAGGCTCTTGCCGGAAGCAGTGCATGATTCCTGCGAGTCGGATGCTAACACTTGTTTGTCCTTTGTCGTTCTCTGAAACAATCACACTCGCAAACCAATGAACCGGTTTTTGATGTACAATGTACATGTGGTCACAGTGAGTCGACAAAATCTACTCGGAATATCTCGGAATGAGGGACGGCTGCTCCTGCTAGGTACCTTGCCGACGTGCGCAGTCGAAACCGCCACAGCACCTCGCCAGCCCTTGCTGCACATACTATTTCTGCTGCAACGGACCGGGTTTCTCATGCTTGCTACGCGGGTCGTCCTGTAACAACATCATGATCTAAAACTGAAGCGATCGTATAGCCGAGACTCGCAAGCCATAGCCGTCCAAGGTGTATGTGGTTTAGGGTTTAGGGTTTAGGGTTTAGGGTTTAGGGTTTAGGGTTTAGGGTTTAGGGTTTCTGGTTCTGAAGATTCTGCGCAACTGAGGTTTACTCCCATGCCCAAGCCAAAGGCAAATCCCCTCATTCTGAAGTTGGTTGGAGCCTCTCGTCTAAGATACCCAGGAAACATCAACTACAGCGACTACCACCGTGTCGACAGTCACGCTGACGACCTCAGACGCTCGACTATAGAATCTGCAGGTTAAAGCCTAAAACCCTATAAACTCCATAAATTTCGAGGGATACACCAAACCCTAGCCCAAGCCGCGAGCCCCGGTTAGTCTCTAGCTGCCCGAAAGAGCCGGAGATACCCTAGGTATTTTGCTTGGGGTATTTCAGATTCATGGGAGCAGCTGCATTGTTCCGCTCAACCACCATTGGGGCCGGTGCTTTGTGTGGATTGTGGCTGTCATTATTTAAAGCCGTAACCTGGATCCTGCTATTTAGGGTCCCATGTTAGAGTTCCCTCGGGTTTAGGGTTTCAGATGCCGTTGATCGGCGGATGCGAAAGCTGGCTCCGCAGTAAAGCTGCTAGGGCTGCTTGCTCCAACTCCGGGCGAAGTGGAAAGCCTGTTGCAAAAAAGGGTTGGGTCCCCCATTTCGAAACTCCTGTGGCATGGACAACAACACACCGTATGGAACTTTACAGCTCAGCTTCTTTCCTCCATGACTTATAGACTGACCCGGGTCTGTTACAGCAGGCGTCTTCTGTGAATATAAAGAGGATAACCCCCCAATACCTTCTAGAGAAGACCCTAACTGCCAATATTATTCCTTATAGGGTTCCTTTTTACTAAGACGCAACACTCTATCTGTCTATCTGTCTATCTGTCTATCTGTCTATCTGTCTATCTGTCTATCTATCTATCTATCTATCTATTCTATATGGTTCTCAAAAGCCTTACTCAATCGATTAGGGGTCTTATGTTAGACCCTACATGCTCCGATCTTGACTGCAAGGACTCCCACGTAGGATTTCAGATGTCAGGGAAGCCCCGAGTTAAACAAACCCTAAACCCTTAATATAGGGGCCTAAATGATTACCTATACTATTTTGGGGGCTTCTTAGTTAATTATAGTATAGTATACCCCAAAACCCCATTCGAAATACTATTAAGGCCCCTACATTACATGGCAAGCATGGGGTTTGGGGTTTATTAGGGTTAACACACAAACCCGGGTACACGGGCTTCCGGGATAGACCCGATGATCTGACTGCACCCTAAACCTCGAAACGAGAAGCCTTTCCGAACCCTGTTAAACGCTACCTATAGTCTCCATTGTAATTCCTTTTTGGGGGATACCTTATACAATCCTTCATATATAATTGGTTAAACAAAAAAAGGGAACTACAATGGAGACTATAGGTACCTCCTAAACTCTAAATTGTTTGAGTAGAAAAGCACCTTGTCAGCACCGGGAACTAAACCTGCCTAAACCTTCAGCCCTGAAGCCAAAGTCCCTATCCAAATCTCGGGCTGCCCGTTGTGCGAAGGACGGAGAAGCTGGCGGAAGATCACTGAGCTTTTACTTGGAGGATCATGGGACTTAGTAAGTAGGGTTATAATTAGTAACTATACTTATGGGTTTAGGGTTTAGGGTTTAGGGTTTAGGGTTTAGGAGGATCATGGGACTTAGTAAGTAAGGTTATAAGTCCCTTAATTGGGGTTATAAGTATAGTTACTAATAGTTACCCTAATTATAACCCTACTTACTAAGTCCCATGATCCTTTAAGTAGGGTTTGTGACTGAAAGGCTTGATAGCTGAATAGATACCAAGACCCTGAGCTCTACACCTTATAGCCCTAGGCCCTAAGCCTGATTCTACACAGTTCAGGTAGCTCTCATACCGAGGCTTTGGCGGTCTTGGGTTCCCCCTAAACCCTAAACCCTAAGCCGAACCCTATGCCGACACTCTTCTATGCCCTGCCTTCTTAGCCGAGCCTTGCGAGAAAAGAGCTCAGTGTTACTGCGTCTATTCGCGCTCAGTTCTCAGAAGCTGTGGCTCAGGGCCTGAAAAGCCTTCGAACTTGGGGCTTAAGGGGGTTTAGGGTTTAGGAGCTTTGGGTTTACGGTTTAGGGTTTCGGCTTAAGGGGGTTTTGTACATTAGGATTTAGGAGTTTAGCGTTTACGGTTTAGGGTTTGGGGTTAGGGTTGTAGCCCAATGTAGAAATTTCGACTGTGGACTGGTTCACGGGATCAGGATTCTTGAAAACCTGATCTAGGCCTGTGTAGGGTGTGGGGCCACGTTTGAACGCCTTTTCATCTTGGGCACTGTATAAGGGGAAAGGATACCGGAGAAGGCCAGGGCGAGCATTAGACAGTTACATCGCTAGCAGCATGCTGATTAACGCAGTGGAATGCCTTCTTGCATACAGGCTGAAATTCACCAATGATTTCTTCGCATGCCCAAACAGTTCACCTATGGCAAGTCCGAGGCCAATTGTGAAGTCGGGTCTACACATGTTGCTCTTTACAACCACACATGGGGGTTTCCGAAAATAGGGGACCCTAATATAGTACCCTAAATAATAGGATCCCTATTATAAGGAGCCCAAAATAAGGTACCCCTTGTTTTGGGAAACTCCCACATCAACATGCAGTACCACACAGCCGCATGCGAAGCTCCAGCTGTAGGTAGTAGGAATATACTGCATGGTCTTCTTGAGTCTATATGAGTGATATATGTGTCAGTAACTTTGTAGTTTAAACGTTTCAAAAACATGTATGTAGTTGAGAAATTTTGTTTGTGCAAAGTGTCATGTAGGTGGAGACGAGGTCAGTGTTAGAACCTCATGGTTTGAGAACGGTGAGCGAGTTTGACGAACATGGCAGACCGCAGACACCTAGCACATGTTATGCGTTCCTCCGGTATTCAGGAGATTGAAAAGTCAGGCGATTATCGACGTTGAAATAGTAGGTCATTCCGGAAAAATCAGCTGGACTGGACTGCATGGTACTGGGCAGCGACCCATCAGGCCGCAGCAAGCCGACTTTCCAAGGAGGATTGAGCCGCGCTGTAGTTATCTAGATGGATTATAGGCACCGGCGAAATGGCAAAACAGGGACGGAATATCAAACTGGTTTATGACATCGAAGACGTTCACATAATACGCAGAGTCGTAGAGTTCCTTGCCATATATATATATATATATATATATAATGTATGTATAATAACGTATATGTGTACACATATATACATAAACTCATGAACTTGTGTACACATACATACATGTATACATGTGCACACAAACCGGCACATCTGTTACATATGTTTAAGCCTTAATGTACATCTGGCGCAAATATCTTGGCTGCAGCACGTGACAGTTGTACTCATACAGCCTTACGTTCGCAGCGTAGAGCAAGGCACTACCACATGACGGCTCATGTTCGGGTCCTGTTGACACGACGAGGTTAGTGCCCTCTCCTGTTGGGATTCACCCCAGAAGCAGGACCTGAAGATCAGGGTTGTCAATTTAGAGTATTTTAGAGGTTCCCTGATAACGACTAGGCAGACTGGTTAAGGCCGTCATTTTTCTTATGAAATGGACGACGCTGATTTGGATTCTGCGCAGGTTCTGGACTTTGGCGCTCAGCCTGTTCGACGATTTGCACCTGCACAGCCCCTTGGCGAACCGCGATGCGGAAACTCCGACATCTGCTCATGCATGCACATACGAATATGCTAGTTTCAAAGTTGCAGGATCGAGGTCGTAAAGCCCTAAACCCTAAACCCTAAAACCCCGCATCAGCCAAAGAAGTTGCAAAGTTCCCCTTTGTGTATTTCGGGATGTTAACGGATGTCGCAGGAGCTCCACCTATAGGCTAGCAATATCACGTCCACAAAAACCGTACATCACCATCTATGCACCCGATAACGCCCCAGCAAAATCACCATTAGGGGTTTCAAAATATATTTTTAGCCCCAAATTCAACCCGATCGAACTGATGAATGCCCTTAAATCCTACACCCTAAACCCCTGAACCCTAGACTTGTGGCTGTCGTCCTGAGGCTTGCAGCCCGATCACTTCAGCCTCGCCAACATCGTGGTGGCGTTTTTTGGCCTCGCATGCGATGAAATGTGAGAGAAGTTCTTCATAAGGAATGGAGAGTTTAGTTTAGGGTTTAGGGGAACTAAACGGCTTTAGGGTTTAAGGTTTAGGATTTAGGGTTTAGGGTTGGCGCAGTGTTGGCCTTAGGGTTTGAAACACGGGCTTGAAGCACCGGCAATATTGGCCCCCCAGCAAACGGTTTAGGGTTTAGGGTTTAGTAAGGCCTAGGGGCTTTTCAGTTGGGGCACCCTGATCAGGGTACGTCAAGGGAACGCATGAGTGTTAGGATGTGTTAGGTAGTTCGACCCTTGGGGTGCGTGGTAGCGGACCCTGATAAACAAATGAGTATCAGTCCATTCGGACAGACAGGGATGCTAGTACGGTTGCCTTTGTTGATCTGATATATTCATCACGGATCTACTGTAATTAGGGGCCTTAATAATTACCCATATTACAGTATTTTGGGCCCCAAAACCATATTCTAATCATTAAGGCCCCTATATCACGTGGTGATGTGGTGATGTGCGTTGATGCATATAGGGGCCTCAATAATTACCAATACTATTTTTGGCGCTCCTTATTAGAATTGTAGCATAATGGGCCCCAAAACCCTACTCTTATTATTAAGGCCCCTATATTACCTCCTAAACCCAAACCCTAAACCCTACCTCTAGTCTCCATAATAGTTCCTTTTTGGGGGGATACCTTATAAAATCCTTACTATATAATTGGTTAAACCAAAAGAAGGAGCTACAATGGAGACTATAGGCCCTAAACTCTAAACCCTAAACCCTAAACCTCCTAAACCCTGAACCCTAAACCCCTAAACCCCTAAACCCCTAAACCCCTAACAGCACCGATCCCTCTGGCCCCGTTAGAAGGCTTGATGTGGCATGGCAGAGCTCGCTGGCGCTGCTCCAAGGCTTTTTTGCCCCTGCCTATAGTCTCCATTGTAGTTCCTTTTTGGGGATGCCTTATAGAATCCTTAATATATTATATAATTACCAAAAAAAAAGGAACTACAATGGAGACTACAGGTGTTCTTGGAAGGTCTGTAGAAGTCGATGAGAAAGTGTAGGGCTGAACCTTTACATGGTAGCAAAGATCGGTTTGGGATCGTAAACCCTTACGCCCCAAAAGCCCAAGTAGATCATGGTAGTATTGAGAGGCTTGGGACCGTAAACCTTAAGCCCCAAAAGCCTAAACCCTAAACCCTAAACCCTAAACCCTAAACCCTAAACCCTAAACCCTAAACCCTAAACCCAAGCCCTTAAAGGAACCGTAACCCTGAGCCCTTAAAGGACAGGTCTCTGGCTGTAGGAAGATCTCCGCTTCGCCTCCCCCAGTCACCTTCTGTGGCAGGCCGGGAGGCTCTGGCAGGCCGGTGGCCCTAGGGTTTAGGGTTTAGGGTTTAGGGTTTAGGGTTTAGGGTTTAGGGTTTAGGGTTTAGGGTTTAGGGGGCTGTTAATACATGTTAAACAGTTGTCGTACTACAATAGTGCTGACGAGGGATATCATGATTACGGCCATGAGTAGTTTTCGTATCATATCCACACAGATAGATAGATATATATATATATGCATTTATGCATAAAAACACATATGTAATGTGTGTACACACGTTTGTGATTGTGTTTGAGTGTCATCGAAGACTTTTGAGGAGAAGGAGGCAGCCCACAGAATTCGATGAACCCCATATTGCAACCTGTCTTTTGGGATTTGGGGTTTGGCGTTGAAGTTCGGGTTGGGATAAGTTGAAATTGGTATGAAGACTCCATACTGCTTTGAGCACAAATACTGAAGTGAAGAACTTTTGCCCAACACAAAACAAGAAACCGTAGAAAGTCGGCTTCGAGCCGTTCGCCAGATCAGAAAACCTCATCCTAACCCTCAAAATACTCACGGTTTCGGGGTTTAGGGTTTAGGCTTGCTCATCGAAGCCAAGGCATGCAAACCTACATGAAGCCCATCCGCTGAAACTGTCAAGCTCAGAGACCTCAGCCACCTGATGCAGATGTGGTGGTCTACAGCGCCTTGATGCGCTCCTGCGAGCGAGGACATGCATGGAAGGTGCGGCTCCAAGCTGACGACTCAATTCTGTTAAGCCTGAAACCTGAAACATCTGCAGCATGCAAGGATCTTCTCCGGCTCCACAGGAACTCGAACATCATAGCCACATCATGGCCCCTCCACCACTGCACTTCGGCGTCCAAAGCCGCAAGAAGCTCAGACATCATCGCCAGCACGGGCATCCTGTGTCTGCAGTGGAATCCCCCAACATCATGGTAACCAAGCCAGGTGCAACCGGTGTCGGCATGACGGCCTTGTGCCCTCTGGCACCACAGACATGCACGTCATCTCAGCTCCGGAAGAATTTGGCCTTTGCATGTCATTGCTTTCGCAACCGAAAGACCATCATCTCGCGCATCTTCAGGGCACCGAGGTCGCCAACACTGGTCTTCCGCTTTTTCTATAAGTTCATGGCAGAGCTTGATCATCATAGTCATCACCATCATCACATCATCATCAGCATCGCCGTCATCATTATTCTTACTAGTAATATTTGAGTACTATTGTTCCCAGTATTATTAGTAGTAGTGTTGTTAGTATTAAAAATCATCATCATCATCATCATCATCACCAGCAGGATCGTCATTGTCAGCATCATCGTCATCGTCGTCATGGCCATCATCACTATATACTCTTCATGTTCATCTTCACCGATCATCCTAGTCTTATTCTTCGTCATCGGCATCATCATCATCTTCTTCTTCATCATCATCATCATCATCATCGCCAGCATCATCGTCGTCAGCATCATGGTCGTCATCGTCGTCGTCATCATCGTCACCATCAGCACCGTCATCAAAACTTGAACACTTGAACTGCCAAGAAGTCGGATCATTCACGAGTTCCTGGCCTTCCCATCTCTCCTTTCAAAGCCTTTCGAGGTCGCAAAACCACACAGTCAAGCAGGTCCCGCAAAAGCCAGGGCATCATCGAACTCTGCCCTCCACCTTCCCAACAAGGGCAGAGGGCCTGTTCCCTGTTCTCGCGGGCTCAACTCCCGTACCAAGCCCGAGCGTGATCCTCATCCTGACCCTGACGGCTACACCAGAATTCCATGGCGATTCTGGCATCCTCCCGACAAAATCCGCGCACGAATTTCATAAGTCACTGATCATCATTTGCTTCGCATGTTCAATACAAGTCTGACGCAAGCAGGAACCATAGTAGTGTGGGTCGTTTATGGGCTCGAATGACTATCGCGGCAATGAGTGTCTTGCAAGTCAACAGGAGACTTCCGGCGGCTTGAGGAGTTTTCTTAGTGTTCCCGCAAGGCTTACGTCATGTGTTGTTCTGTCTTCGAGGTGAGTTTCAGACAGTCCTCAAATAGTCGGATCATGAAGAAAAAGAAAGGACCCTTGCAGACACTCTCTATAAGGACCCTCGCTGCCACTACACAGAAAAATGGGGAGTGTCTGAGACTCTCTTACAGGCGCAAGGCTGCCAAGGCTTAACAGGGGGCCTTGATAATTAGAAAAGAGTTTTGCCCATATTATACGCGAATTATATTAAGGCACCTTCAAAACCCTATTCTAGTCACTAAGGCCTCTATAGTAGATGGGTTCTAAAAGGGTTTTGATTTCGTAAGAGTGCTGTAAGGGCCTCATATTTCTAGGGGTGTCTGGCAGTCGATCGACATTGCGCTTAGGGCGTAGGGGATTAATGTAGGGGCCTCAATAGTTACCGGTATTATTTTTGGGGGTTCCTATTATTATGCTTATAGTATAGTGCGCCCCAAAACCCTATTCGAATTATTAAGGCCCCTACATGACCCTAACACCCCAGGGACCTACTATATAGGGTACTAGAGCCCCTAGGGCCCTATATAGTAGGTACTTGGCGGGTTAGGGTTAACTAGGGTTCAGGGCTCAGGCTGAAGGGTGGTCGCTCTTTATCTGCGCCCCAGCCTAAGATTCTGTGCACCCCCGGTCAGCGCAGGTGGCACTGGACGTTTTCCGCAACATGCAGCATGCAGGTGCCGAAGTTGTCTTGGGGATGCGGTCACTCTTTAGGCTGGTGACAAGCTTCCCCTACAGCCTAAACCCTAAGCCCTATGCCCTAAACCCTAAACCCTGAATGAACTCGCAGTTTGGCCCATGCCACTTTGCAGTGCTCGTGTTCTGATCTTCCTGGGTTTGGGTTCCAGGCAGGGCTTTGCAGGGTTCAGGGGGTCTTGTGCACTTAAATAGGGCAAGTAGAAGGTATTTAGGGCCCAATAGAGGGTAGATGGAGGATCCAGGTAGCCTTTATATTCTTAAAATATCATCCATAACCCTAAACCCTAAACCGAATCCTGCACGGGGCTCCCATCTTTGGGGCCTCCTCCCGGACCCGACATCTCCACCTGCGCACCCGGGAAGCCCCACCATCTCCCGGAAGCCAGATAATCTAGGAGCCGGAACACATACAAATACTCTTTTGAGGGTTGCTTATTATTATTATGATTAATTTTGTTGTTATTATTAATATTAGTATTTTTACAATTGTTATTATTATTGTTACTATTATGATTATTATGATTTTACTACAAAATTATTAATACTCTTTTGGGGGGCTCCTTCTTATAATTTTACTACAAGGGAGCCCAAAAAACCCGATTCTCCCCTAGAATCAAGAGCCCTCACAAGGCCGTTTTCGAAGTTGTCTTAAGCATCTGAGGTAGAACCCATGGGCCCCTAGTATGGGCCCTTAACCCTGGGACCCTATACCCTTAAGGGACCCTAGAATCCCCTAAGGGCCCATGTTAGGGGCCCATGGGTTCAACCTTAGAAAGCAGGTGTTGAGCCGAACTCTGTGGCCCTCTGCGCGGCGCTGTCAGCACTGGCTGCAGGCAGCCGATGGCGTGAGGCCTGGAGGGTCACAGACTTTCCAATATCACAAAATTAATTACATAATTAAACGATTACTTAATTATAGTTAGCTAATTAATTGATTACTTACTTGAATAATTACATCCGGAATATACATTGAATCATATCGGGAATCCTACTATAGCTTCAGGCCGATTCCTTAACCAAGGGATATTGGAAGGTCTGGGAGTCGGGGTTTACAGGGTTGGGGTGGTTGGTTTAGGGTTTAGGGTTTAAGGTTTAGGGTTTAGGGTTTAGGTTTTGAGTCTTGGGTGTTACTGTAAGGCGAGGGTTCAGGGTCTTCAAGGTCTACTTGGAGGCCCAGGGGACTTAGTAAGTAGGTTATAAGTAGAGTTATCAGTACCCTAATTGGAGTTACCCCAATTAGAACACCCTACTTATAACCGATCTACTAAGTCCCAAAGGCCTCCAAGTAGGGGTGCAGGGTTGGCAAGCTCATCTGGAGTCGGAGTGGGGGCAACATTTATGGGAGCCGCAGCAATTTCGGCCCTTGGGGTTTAGGGTTTAGGGTTTAGGGTTTAAGGTTTAGGGTCTTTGGAGGCCCTTGGCTTTTGGGGTTTAGGGTTTAGGGTTTAAGGTTTAGGGTCTTTGGAGGACGTGGGACATTTCCTCACTAACATTTGGCTTTTCTTACAAAGGTTGCGATGATTGGGAAGGTCCATCCAGGAGGTACCTTTGCCTTCGAGGCAATGCCAGTTCAGAGGAGCCGCATGTGGCATCAACATCATGAAGAGTCTAAGCAAGCAGTACACAGCAGAGTCCCGCCGTGGTATCATTAGTTGTTGGTGCTATGTATATACAAGCTTGAATACTTACAATATTATTGCGTAGGCTTCTGTCTGAGAAGTGTACTAGATGTTAACCCACAGCCCTATTACTATAAGGTCCTTAGATTAAGCACACGACTCCCCCCAAACCTGGTTGTAATTATTCAGGCTTCTGTCTTGCTCGTAAATGATTTATTTCTCGACGAGCTTGCTTGATGCCGCAGGCTTTCCCGCTAAAGTGCAACGCACCCCGTGCTGCACGTCCCCCTAAAATCCTAGACCCGCAACCCTCAACCTTAAGCGCCTACCGCCTAAAAACCCAGACATAGAAGTCTTAAAGCCCTAAAACTGGCGGTCAAAAACGGCTTTGAGTGTAATGTAGGGGCGTAAATACTTGCCAATTCTATCTTGGGGGTTCCTTATTGTAGTTATAGTATACTGGGCCCCAAAGCCCTGTTCTAATGATTATAAGGCCCCAACATTAGGCTTCATGGAAAATGGAATGAGGCTTTGCAGATGTTGCCGACCTGCCCGCCTGAAATCATCGCCGTCAATGCCACTTGGCCGGGGTTCAAGGGTTTCAGGGTCGTCCGCTCTACGGTTTAATGGCTGATACGCTTTCTAGGGTCTGGGTTTTAGGGTTTGTGGTTTGAGGCAGTTTAAGTTTAGGGTTTCAGGGTTTAGTGTTTCATGTTCGAGGGTTTAGGGCGCTTCGGGCTTAGGGCCGGCATGCTTAATTGGGTTGACAGGGGTTGCAGATGACAGCCTTGTAATGCCCGCTTGGGCAACAGGGCTCCTGTCATCTTCCGCTTCTGTTTCGGTTTTGCTTTCCGTTTGGCCACGGCTCTCCGTTTTCACTTCCGTTCCACATACCTAGACAGTACTTCTCGGGTTTCCATATTTGGAGAAGCTGCATGTAGAGTAAGGGCACTTGACCACAGCTGCAGACTTGCGAAGAAGCAGCTTGACCAGAATACCGCCATACTGCCTCTTTGTAATCTGGGGCGCAAGCGAAGTTCGAGGCGATCCAAATCCATCAGCTCTTGGGCGAAGGCAAGAGCAAACCGTCTTCAGGGCATGAAATGTATGTGACCGCCGCCCGGCTGCTCGATCGGGTCCTTTGGAAGCCTTGGTGGAATCTGGCGGCGCGGGCGGGCTTACCTTTTACACTTTACACTTTTAAGGGCTATATGATTTTCTTATAGAACTGAAAGTGTACACTTTTTGGGACTAGATGATTTTCTTATAGAACTGAACGTGTACACCTTTTTGGGGACTTATGAACTCAGCAACTACGCTGTGTGAGTAGATCCTAACAGAAAGGAAGCCCCATCCCAATCGAGTTTGGGTGACGGGGTCGCCTTCAACTACACCCAAAGGCTCCATGTACCTTTATAGTAGATACTTAGGGCTTAAAGGGGTTCCTATAGGTACTTTAAGGCCTATGTATCTATAAAGGTACATGGAGCCTTTGGGACAAAGGCCATCAAGGTATGCTTAGCCAGAGATCGTCTTCGAACATGTATTATAAGCTTGTTTCACATGATTCAGACACCCTAAACCCTGAGCCTCATGACTTAGAACACTTTCATCTCCCCAGCCTGGCAGTCTCCACTTCCCAAAAAACGTCACCAGCTGCAGGCCCTAGAACCGTAGCCTGTAGAGCCCCTAAATCCTAAATCCCAAGGCTGTTTGGGTTTAGGGTTTAGGGTTTAGGGTTTAGGCTGTTGGTATATCGAGAGCTTGTGGGTTGACGGCTTTGGACTAGGCTGATGCTTTACGATTATGATATGATCTGTGGCTTCGCATGTCGTGTGCTTCTACATTTTTTGGATTGCAAAACCCGAGCCGTAGGGGCTACATAAAATCCAACGGAAGCCGTAAACCTGAGCACCAAGGCCACCATCACTGCCTGCGCGAATGCCTCCGAGTGGCAGGTTGGACACCGGGCTCCTAAACCCCTAGACCGCAGAGTTTAAGGTTTAGGGGTTAAGGTAGGGCTTAGGGTGCAGGGGTTTCAGGTTCGAGGCTTGGTGATCAGGGTTTAAGTTGCAGGACGATCATGCTCAATTCTTAGGGTCAAGATGTTTACAAGATTCAATGAAAGGGTCCTTCGCGACCAAAGTTTTTTTTTAGGTAGGCCGCTGGGATATTCATGTTTTTATCATCAGACTTGGTTAAGATTAGACTATGTCAACCCTAAACCCTAAACCCTAAACCGTGAGGGTCTGCAAGGGTCGCCCGGAGCCCTTGACTCCGAAAGCCTAAACCCCTAAACCCTAAACCCCAGGACCCTCAAATCCTGAACCCTAAGACCGGAACAGCCGTAGGCACCCTATAAAGCCCAGCCGCCGTCTTAAGCCACTACAAACAGGCCTTGACAATTGGAAGAGGTTTTGGACCCCCAACAAACTCCAAATCAAAACCCCACACCCTAAACTCAAATCAAAACCCTTTAACCCTGAGGACGCTTGTTGTCGCTTCTGGAGTGGCGCACAAACGTGTGGAGCGACGCCTGTGATTTCAACCTAAACTGCCGAATCTAGAAGCCAAATTAGGGTTCCTTGTTTAAGTGTTTGAGGAGCCCCAAGCCTTGTTCTAATCATTGAGGCCCCTACATGAGAAGCCTACCGGCTCCATACTTCAGCCTCTGTGGTGGCTGCTAGCTGCGGTCCAGTACATAAAGTCCTCAATAAGGTTAGTGCGTGGGGTCTGTAGTGATGAAGGCGCCGCTCCAGCTGCTGTCGCAGCTGCCCGAATCGATCTCTCCGCCGCTTGGTTTCGCCTGTATTTATGAGGGGCAAATCGGGAGGTTAGGTAAAGAATTCCGAAACGGGTTCTGGAGATTCTGGCCTGGTGGAAGGCGTAGTTTTTACTTTTTCATAGTCTTATCAAAGCTGTTGGGTCTGAGCTCTCTCGGAAGAAATCCGGCCGGTGGCAAGACATATATGGGTGGTTGTCAACATTATGGTCCCCTTTTGGGTCCGTAATATAATACGGCACCTAATATTTAGGGTACCCAAAAAGGGACCCTAATTTTGACAACCACCCATATCTGTCGGAGTGCACGGGTGCAGCCTAAAGCTCAAGTCTCGTAGCTTTGCAAGGACCGTGGTCACCTTCAGCGCCGTGGTGAGTGCGCTTGGGCCAGCAACTGCAAGGGTTTAGGGTTTAGGGTTTAGGGTTTAGACTGTCTTAGAATGCGGAGCAGCATGGCGATATTCGCATCGTCAAGCTTACCTTAAGAACCCAAAACCTACTTTTTTGTAGGGTCCCTATAAATCCCATATTAGGGATAATAAGAACCTACAAAAAAGTGGGTTTTGGGTTCTTAGGGTAAACCTCAAGAATGAATTCCTCTTAGCTGCATCCTTACACCCTGAGTTCGGAGGTCCTCCCAGAAGCCCGCAGAAGCCCCGTTACGACGCAGCTTGTGCCGGTCTGCAAATCAGATTAGGTGCAGTCGAGTTTAGTCAAGTCTGGACATACATATATGTTTATTATTGTATAACTAGTTAGTATATACATATATATATATATGTATAAATGTACCATTCCCGTCTCTCTCTATCTTTCTCGTTCTATGGGCATACATATGTATGTATGTATGTGTTTAATTACACACACACACACACATAAGACACCGACAAACAAGTATAGAGAGAGAGAGAGAGCGAGCGAGAGGCAGGGAGAGGGCCCATAGACAGTAACACCAGGCAAGTAGCGGCACTTTCTAGGGCCTGCTATGGCAAATCTCGCGCCTTAAGGCCCGAATGCGCGCCCCCAAGCAATGCTCCAAACCCCAAACTAACCTCCAAACCCCTAAAACCCCGAAATCCAAACCCCAAACCCCCCTAAACCCTACATAAGCCCTCAAAAACGCAAAAAAAAAAAACCCTAACCCCGAAACACTAAACCCTAAACCCTAAGCCCTAAACCTCAAGCCGAAGCCCCTGAGCTTTGAGCCGCTCAAGGCCTGTGAGCGAGCAGGGCAGTGGGAGCAGTGCCTGGAGCTCTTGCAGGCGAGGGTAATCAGTATTGCCTTACATCTAGTTCCTGTGTATATATATATAATTATATGTGTATATATATATATATATAACACACATACTGGAAGGAAGGAGGGAGGGAGGGAGGGCATCTGGTTACATATGATGGCGAACAGTATTCTTTCAGGGTTCCTACCAAAATAATTGTAGTACCGAAACCCTACACATGTATGGGAGCTGCAGGGTTAGGACGTATGATGGTGTCCTGGGTTTAGGGCTCAGGATACATGGTATTCAGAGTCTAGGACAGGAGGTATATTCGCGGTTCAGGTGTCGGATAAATCCCTAAACCCTAAACCCTAATCGTGTTCCAGGGCCTGGAGGTTGGGATGCACCCAAGTTGTGCAGGAGCCCTTGTATTCACTCGCCAAGATCCTTGATGTAACCCGTTAGCTCATTCAGAGTCTGTTGGTTAAGTTAGGGTCTAGACGAAATTCGGGGTCTAATGGGGTTAGGATGTGTGGTTCAGCGTGTAGGACTACGTGATTTAGGTTAGAGGGTTCAGGTGGGTTTTAGGCTACATGAGGTGGAACTCTTAAACTGTTGTTTCTGAGGTTGCGCATCGTAATCAACTACCGTAATCAGAGTCACCGTCACAAGAGTAGCGTGAGAATCAGAGCTAAGCATGAAAGAACATAAGCACGAGAATAGTGGAATAGTAGCCAAAATAGAACATAACTGATTTTATCAACAGAACAGCAATGGTTAAACAGTATTAGCAGAACGGTGACTATAGTAACGGCAGTCATAACTTAGCAGTACTCGCATCAACAGAGGTACGGACGACGGAGCACGAAGTCTAAACCCTCAATCCTAACCATTCGTTGTTTCAGGAGCCGAAGTTTCGGCATACACTTAAAGGATCATGGGACTTAGTAAGTAGGGTTATAATTCGGGTAACTATACTTATAACCCCAATTCAGGGACTTATAACCTTACTTGCTAAGTCCCATGATCCTCCAAGCAAGCCTAGCGTCTCAGCCCCTTCCCTGCGTACTCCGAGGGTTTGCAGTTGTATGCTTTGACGCAGAGAAACAGGAGAACAAACTCCTAAAGAAGACTCGAAGAACTAAGCAATCTACACCCTGAAACTTTAAACCCTAAACCCTAAACCCCTAACCCCTAAAGCCCTAAAGCCCTAAAACCCTAAAACCTTAAACCCGAAGCCCTAAAACCCTAAGAAGCCTAAACCTTAAACCCTGAAGCCGACACCATCCTCTAATCCTAAACCAAGAGCTGTAAACCCCCAAAACAGAAAAAGCAAACCCAAACCCGAAACCCTAAACCCTAAACCCTAAACCCTAAAGCTCCGGGAGGAGTTGGAGAAGGCTGGGCTCCTCGAGGAAGATTCTGCTGCCCTGAACTCCTCTGTGAAGGCCTGTGCTGCGGCATCTCGGCGGATTTGCATAAAGGATCATGGGATTTGGTATTTAAGTAGCCTTATAAGTAAGAATGCTGTAGACAGATAGACAGATAGGTAGATAGGTAGATAGGTAGATAGGTAGATAAGATAAGATACGATCAAATAAGATAAGATAAGATAAGATAAGATAGGATAGATAGATGGATAGATAGATATATAGATAGATGTATAGATAGATAGATAGATATTTCTTCCCCGAAGCGCATCGACTCGTCAGGGGGACCTTTCTTTGGTCTTCGGACCTTGGGCTAAGGCTCATCTTCTGGGTACAATGTAGGTAAATGCCTAAACCCTATAACCCCTAATGCCTAAACCCTAAACCCTAAACCTTAATATCCGTAAACCCTAAACCCTAAATCTGAAATATGAGGGCTATTGGAGTTTGGCTGGCCAGGTTTAACGTTTTTGTTGGGGTCCCTGAAACGGACCCTAGTTTAGAGAACGGCCCATATAGTACCAATATAGAAACCCCTATGGATCCCTTTAAGGCGCATCGTCCGGGCATGGAGCCTGCAGCGCACTCTGTCAGCCTTAATCCTTATGCATGCTCGGGTTAAGGCTCGCGAGATACCGATTCCTGTTGCGCATTGCTGCATCCCCCAGAACTCAAAGAGCTCAATTAATACCCATTCACTATGGAAGATACGTTACATAGTATTCGAGTAGATACCTCGTGGAGCAGGGCGCGCAAGTCAGCGACGGCCGCCAGACGTCCTAAACCTCCGGAAGTTGCCATACTCCTCCCCAATTTGGCATTTAGGGTTGATAACGGGCGAGGGCTCTCAAGGTCTAGGGGTTCAGGGTAATTACTCAGGGTTTAGCGGGTATGTGGGAGTTCATGCTTTCCGTTGCAGGGCACGAGCCTGGGACTCGCTATCCCGGATTCGAGAACATCAACCTCCCCTCCGCCTCCCTCCATCCCCGTCCAAGCAGCACAAAACCATACTTCCCAGAGCCAACCTATGGTTTCCACTGTAGTTCCCTTTTTTTGGTTTAACCAATCATATATGAAGGATTTTATAAGGTATCCCTGAAAGGGAACTACAATGGAGACTACAGGAAGAGCACAATTCAATCCTGGTGGAACCCTGGGCCCTGGGGGATGCATGACTCAAGGCGCAACAGCAGCGCCATGCGATGTTGCTGCTTCGGCGTCAGCCGGATCCCCTGCTTAAAGGATCATGGGACTTAGTAAGTAGGGTTATAATTAGGGTATAACTATATACTTATCACCCCCAACTAAGGGACCTATAACCTTACTTACTAAGTCCCATGATCCTCCAAGTGAGACTGCGCAGAGCTGCGGGGTCTGCCTGCTGGGGCTGGTGATTTCGGTGCGTGAACCTAGACCCTCCATCTACCCTCTAATGATTAGACCCTAAATCCCTTATAAGGCTCTAAAGACTCATATAGTAAGGCTTTTTGGCCTCAAAGACCATTCTATATAAGGCTTTTGGGCTATTTTATAAGCCTCAGGGAATACCTGATACTTGGGGCTCTTTACCCCTACTTTGGAACGTCCCATCTGCAAAGCTTGAACATGTCCTTCTCTTAGGAACCCAAAAAGGACATAAGCATAAGCATTTTATGGGGATATCCCTACCTGATTGGGCTTCATTATAAGGGGGTTTATATGGGATATCCCCATGCTAATTTTTGCTTATGTGCTTTTTTGGGGGTTGTGGCATCTCACGGAGGCGCCTTGGCGTGGGCTGTGGAGCCCTTAACTTCAACAGGGTTTAGGGTTTAGGGTTTAGGGTCGCCTAAACCCTGAAACATCCCCCAAAACTTTAAACTTACAAATCCCTCGACGGCTGCCCACTTGTACAAGGTCCACGGTGCGATGGCCGCGAAACGCAGGGTCCGAGCACCCACACAGGCCCTTGTCATGAACTTCAAGAACCTTAAATCCTTAGATGCCCATAATATAGGGGCCGAAATAAACTACCAATACTATTTGGGGTGGGGGTTCCTGATTATGAATTTAGTAGAATATACACCAAAACCCTACTCCAATTATTAAGGCCCCTACATTACCCCCTTAGTGTTCCTTTTTGTGCTGGTTTCATGATAGGGGCCTTTTAGGGGGTCTTAGGGGGTTACAGGCCGTTCTAGCAAGAGTAGGGAGTCGCAGTCGGGGGGGTTGTGCGGATGGAGAGCTCGTAGCTTTTTGTCTGGGTTTCAGGGTTTACGGTTTAGGGGGTTCGGGTTTAGGGGTGTAGGGGTTTAGACGTTTAGGGTTTAGGGTTTAGGGGTTTAGGGTTTAGGGGTTTAGGTTTAGGGGTTTAGGGTTTCAGGGTTTAGGGCTAAGGTATGCGAAGGTTTACATTTACATGGCCTCCAGGCTTTTCCGAAGGCTCATGGGCACGAGAAGCCCCCAACCCGAAGCTTCGACATTTGCACCTACCTTAAGAACCCAAAACCCACTTTTTTTGTAGGTTCCCTATAAATCCCATATGAAGGTTTATACTAAGAACCTACAAAAAAGTGGGTTTTGGGTTCTTAAGGTAGACTTCAAACTTCAACCTGTCGCCCCTTTTTGAAAGACTGTCGCAGGCCTCCACCCCCTGGCCGGCGGTTGCGCGGGGAGACACACAGCTCACAAGCGAGAGCGCAAAATCGCATGGCTATGGTTTGGAGTTTCATTTGGGAGTTTTGGGGTTTCGAGGTTTAGGGTTTACTGTCTCAGGGGCGAGGACTAAGAGTTGTAGGGTTTCAGGTTTCGTGGTCTTAGGGGATTATAAAGTACTATAGGGTCTGGAATGCAGAACTTTATGGGAGTTCTTGGAATGTAGAAGGAAGCAAAGGGTGCTTTTGCGGGTGGTTTGCGAGGCTGCGCATGTCTTGGGTTGTTACGCGAATTGGCGGAAGGCTGTCCGGATTGGGAAGCGTCCTTGCACTTGCAACCATTGCTCCTGTCTTGTTTGGCTGCAGCCGGTGTGTTGCCCTCATGACACAGATGCTGCAGCAGGGTCTTGGGTAGATACTTTAGAGTGCAGGTGTGTGCGAGTGTCCAAAGCCTCCTTCACGTCCTTCTGACAGACCAGCCGAACTCCAGCTTGGGAATTGAATCATCTTCAGCAAAACAGGCCAGGCTGGCTTAATTTAAGTCTCGCCTTTGATAGGCAAATGTGTGTTTGTTGGGCTGTAAATCTTAAATATTGATGGGGGTCCTGGGAAGTCGCCTCCCTTTTGGCAGCATGCCCGAACATATCAACCCAGATTCAGCAACCCCTTGTTCCTCAGGGATATGCTGGTACATCAGAAGCATTGAACCTAGCTGCTTAGAGTTTGGGTTTTAGGGTACCTAGCTACCTAGCTACAGCACCGGCGTGGCCATGATCGGCATCAGCCGCGGCCTCAAGAGGACATGGATTAGGAACCAAAAAAGGACATAAGCATAAGCATTTCATAGGGATATTTCTACCTTATTGGGCTTCATTATAAGGGGATTTATATGGGATATCCCTATCCTGATTTTTGCTTATGTGCTTTTTTGGGGCCCTAATGGAACTGTTGAGTTGGCATTCCCCGCAAGTTGTGGCGATCGAGGCCCCGCCCTACACTAAACCTATAAAGCCTAAACCCGCAACCGAAACCCTAAACCTTAATCCCGAAGCCCTAAACCCTTAATCCCTTAAGCCCTAAACCTTAACCCCTAAAAATCCTGTAAACCCTAAACCCTGCAAACCCTGAAAGCTCGGCTGTGTTGCGATTGCTTCACGAGGGCCGGGGCATGCGGTGCTTGCGGCCTGTTTTGTGGTCCTGGCTGAGGCAAGGCCGTCGCCCAAAGGGTCCATATTTTTAGGGTTTAGGGTTCAGGGTTTAGGGTTTGGGGCTTACGACTTCAGATCAGGCTTTCCTTGGAGAGCAATTTAGACTCAATATGTTTCCAGGGTCATGCTGCAATGCTTCTTGACATGTCTTGCCAGGTTTGGCAAAGTTCGGGTTCTATCGCATCCTGCATTGACGCATCATGCTGCTCCTGAAACGCCTAGAATATGATGAAGCGCAAAACTAGGACAAGTGCTGTCACACGACCGCAGGACGTAAGATTCTTGACACGGGCAGGCAATCTCAAGAAGAGGCTATGTAAACCTATACCCACAGACGTGATGAAGAAAAGACTCATTGCCTTCATCGGGGTCGTCACTGTGTCGTCGCGTTCATAGGCGCGTACTAGGCATGGAAGTCATAGAGGCATATCGGCACTGGATGACTGCGTATTCGTGCCAACAGAATGTGGACTGGTTTGTACCAAGGGTTTAAGAGCTAAGACAGGTACTGCTTGGTTTTTGTTTCGAGAGCATCGCAGTGTTTTGCATTTGCCTCCTTTGAACCTTTCTGTTCCACCAATGCTCCAACTTTGCACATAGCTACTTCACCTAGCTGTTCTTCTTCGGGGGTTTGGCCCACGGCCCGTGGCTCGAAATAGACGCAACAGATTTCATCCCATGTTTTTCGGACCATCAATCAAGCTGCAGAACACACACTCATTTGTCAACCTAAACCCTAAACCCTAAACCCTACGGTGTAGGGTTTAGGGGTTTAGGGTTTAGTTTAGGGTTTAATTTGTGTGACCTTGCATCAGAGGACTTTGACTTGAAAGGTGTTGAGGCAATCACCAGGCACTGTCAAATCGATTCCAAGACCAAAGAAAGCACACCAAGGGTCCTGCCTCAGCATTCTCAGATACCATAAACACCATAAGATACTATAATATACTATAGGTGTCTACACTTTTAGATCTACTAAAAGAGATTCTGATTATAATGTAAGTCTGGGTAGGCAAGATGCAGAGCTCCTTGGGCCGTCCTTGCCATGTTGCGCGTTTGGTGGGCTGCTTCCGGTCAGGAGCTGGTGACCATGGCACCAGAGGAGCCTGAGTATAGGGGCCTTAATCATTAGAATGGGGTTTTGGGGCCCATTATACTATATAATTAGAATAAGGAACCCCCCGCCAGAATAGTAGAGGTATTTCTTAAGGCCCCGATAGTGGTGCTGTTTTTCTCGTTCAGCGGAAGTAGAAGGCCAGCCATCGCATAGATGCGCGATAAGTGTCTTTTATCCCTGACTGAGCCACAGAGCATTCACAGAGGAGCTGAGTGATGTTGGATCCTTGAAGCAACATCTGCGAACGCTCCATGGTTTCCCGCTCTGCATTCAACAGATTCTACACCATGGTCTCTGCTTGGATGATGCTTTCAAGCTCGATGCTGGGCTCTTGTTAAGGATCTTCCTCAAAGTTATCTTACCGAGGAGAATTCAAAGTTTCCTGTATGAAACCCCTAATAAGCTACGATAAAGAGGAACATGTATTCTTGGCTTTTTACCCCTTTCGTGGTAGTTGAAAGCTCCTTAACATCCCCGGGCTCCAAATAGCCACAAGTAGGCATGGCGTTTTGACTCTAGGCTGTAGACACCAGGGAAACTTTATCTGTTTGAAGAATCAGTGGAAGAGAGTTTCAGATGTCATGCCTAAACCCCTAAACCCCTAAACCCTGACCTATAGGGAAAGAGCCCAGGATGTGCCCATGGACTAAACCCTAAACCCCTAAACCCCTAAACCCTAAACCCCTAAGCCCCGAAACCACTAAACCCTAAACCCCTAAACCCCTAAACCCCTAAACCCTAAAACCCCTAAAACCCTTAACCTATAGGGAAAGAGCTGAGGATGTGCCCATGGACGTTCAGCTGGTTCTCTTGACCGTCTCTGAGTCCGAGGGCTTCAAAGATGCTCGCCTTTGCTTCTTCTAGAGTTTTTTTGGGGAGTTCGGGGGTTAGGGTTTTGGGTTTGGGGTTTAGGGTTTAGGGTTGAGGGTTTGTTGTAGGTTAAGGTCTCAAAGTTCTAGAGTTTTTTGGGGTTCAGTGTTTAGGGTTTCGGGGTTTAGGGTTTACGGTTTGTGGGTTTACGGGGCGGGTAGGGGAGGGATTGAGAAAGTTCTCCCTCCTTCCTGCGCTACACCCCATCAACCCTAAACCCCTTAATCCCAAAACTCCCAATAAATCCCTTAATCCCGACAATCCCTCTAATCCCGGGTTTAGGGTTTAGGGAAAAACCCCAAAGCCCAAAGCCCAAAGCCCAAGCATCTGCGGCAGAAGGCGGAGGAAGAGCTGGGGCTGGCTGCGATCCAGGGTCACGTCGAGGTGGCGCGGTTTCTGCTCGCGGCCGGCGCCGACAGGAATCTGGGGCCTGCTTAAAGGATCATGGGACTTAGTAAGTAGGGTTATAATTAGGGTAACTTCACTTATAGCCCCCAATTAAGGGACTTATGACCGTACTTACTAAGTCCCATGATCCTCCAAGTGTTTCTGAGAGGTTTAAGTTTAAGTGACCCTACCTATAGTCTCCATTGTAGTTCCCTTTTTTTGGGTGTAAAAAATTAAGTATATATGAAGGATTTTATAAGGTATCCCCAAACAGGAACTACAATGGAGACTACAGGTGGTTCTGAAGAGTTTAGGTTTGAGTGACCCTAAAAGGGGTGGAGGAAATTACGTGAAATTGATACAGCTCTCAGAAGAGAGGTAACTTTTAAGCCGAAGCCCGAAACCTTAAGGCTTACCTTAAAAACCCAAAACCTACTTTGTTGTAGGGTCCCTATAAATCCCATATTAGGGTTTATAATAAGAACCTACAAAAAAGGGGTTTTGGGTTCTTAGGGTAAGTAGAATATAAGACTTTCTGCTGAAGCAACTGCCTTCTTGATGACCCAGGAATGGCCAAAAGGCCCTCCCTCGCGCATCTGCTCAAGGCTGGGAAGCTCCAAAGACACCCAAAGGGTCCCAGGTACTGCTACCGGGGGGGGATATTTTCCCATATGGGTAGTTCTCGAAATTAGCGTCCCTTTTTAGGTCCCCAATATAGTACGGCACCCT